CAGGACAGCCCCCGGTCAAACATTTCCCTACTCAATCTCTGGGAATCAATTTAGCGCATCATATTAGAATGGCAGGAGTCGCTTGGTTTCGGTCATACTTGCCACAAGCATGTACCTGGGGACAAGGGAGTGTCAATAGCAAAGGGGGCAAAGAGAGTTTTCACAAATACAGAGCAACTGCAGGTAGCCCTTTGATCCTCCCAAAGGCACCAGTGGGTCTCCCGATGCTGTGCGGAGGATCAGTGTGTGCCCTAGAAGGGGAGGAAAACTTTACTAGAACATGTTACAAATTCTGATCCCCTCCATGGCTTCATAAGAGCTGGAAGACAATGTAGGACCCTACACCCGGTAGCTAAATGGGTATGTAGCCCAGTCATTGGGCTCCATTGCTCTTAAAAACAGATGTCTGCTTGAAGCACTGTGGGGCTTTCATTCTGCAAGCTGCTCTGACTTGTGCTAGGGGCTAAAAACACAGCCCAGGACCACCATGACAGGAAGCCTGTGGGGTCTGCTCCAGCTCAAGGGGCTGACTGCGGACTCTGGGCTCATCTTCAGTAAATGCATAGATGTCGCCCAAACCGGGATTGTGGCTGTGCAGGTCATGCGCTGGCCTGGGTGAGGATCCTGGAGACACCTTCCAAAAAGAAAGAGGAAGAAACACCTTTTCAGATGAACCACTTTCCCTGGGTGCAGCATGGCAAAGACGGAGCAGTCATTAAAATAACAAACCCTTTCATTTAGCACATTCAAGCTTATGCAGGGTAATTTTTCTGAAAAAGTGGCTTGCATACAATTATTTTTAACAGGGTAAATATATAATCTTACAATAATAGCTCCTAATTTTTCTGTTAAGCAGATTGCTAGAGGAGCGTTTTGAACTGGTTCTGACAGGTCAGAGGCAGTCTCTCTCTTTCTCTCTCTTTTTTTTTTTTTTCCTTCCTTCCCCCCATAATTTGCCAAAACTGAATTGCAGCCGGGAGGTAGAGGCTGCAGGTGTGGCTCAGAAATGTTTGGGGTATTGTTCAAATGAAACTGGTAGCTAGCAGAAGAACCAAGAACCAAGTGTCCTTTATACATTCACTAAGCAATATCATGTAAACAGGGGAGGCTAAAGCATCTCTCTAAGGCCTTACAAATATTTGACTTGTCTGTATATTCAGTAAGGCCCAGATCTGCATCTAGCCAAAGACTCTCACTGACTTCCCTAGAGCAGGATCTGGGCATAAATGATTCATCCAGCATTACACGTATATAAAAGACGATGTAAATAATTCTGTTCAACTATGTATAAAGAGGTGGTTAACAAATCAAAAGACCCACTTTTCGGGCCACCTGTATGCATTGGGTCAGTGGTTTAGTGAGGCTGCAGGATCAGCTTCGCTGTGGGAAATGACTATAGCACATGGCAGGACTGACCCCAACTCTTCTGTTACACATGTGAAAATGTGCCCGTTTTACCAGGAAGCATGCACACGGAGACCCTGTTCTGCGCCTGGTTTCCCTAGCAAGGAGGACCCCTGCCCCTCTCAGCAGGGCTCTGTGCTGCCTGGTCCAAAAGACAGAATTAGGGGCCTTTGGAGTACAGATGGACTCAGCCCAATTACTATTCCTGTTGCTGTGAAACTGTGCATTGCCATCTATTTTCCTTGTCAGAAATTGCCATTTTGCCAAATACACTGAATCGTGGAGCGTGCAAAATAACCTTCCCCTCCCTGCCTTAAGAGGAAGAGGTTTTCCAGTCTTTATTTTCCCCACCAGATCACGAGCAGATCAGTATGGCTACGAGGTGGGGAGGCATAAGAAGTGTATGGCTCATAATTCAGCAGAAATGCGACAGCCCCCATGTGCGCTGGATCACATACAGAAAGCTACAGAATACTCCTTAGCCGAGTCGTTTCCTCCTAGGAGCTTGGATGGGTGACAGTGGGAGAGGGGACGGCTACATAGAGAAACTGCAGGGTAGCAAAAGGCTCCCAGCCTTTCCCTCACAGATGTGCACACATCACTGCCTCCTAATTTACATGACAAATGCACTGTGCATAACCTTTGTTTGCACAGTGATTTAGACATTCATGATTAGAACTCCTTTCACCATCCAGCCTTGATGTACACACATGCACGCACACAAAAGTATTTAGTCTCTTGGTGCCAAGACCCAGGGCCATGTGTCTAGCTGGCATTGTGCCTGCTAACGAGTCAACCAGATTGACTAGATCAGTGGTGCCAACGATGATGGATGCAGTTTGTTCCCCTGCATACTTCCAGCAAATAGCCATTCTCCTTCCCCTAGTTACCAGGGCCTTTTCAGTGGCACCGGAGGATAAGTTTCATTTACAAATCCAAGTAGCTTTGCAATTGCTTATTTGCTCAGAAAACTGACAAAACATGGAAGATTTACAGCACATGCTGTCTAATAGCCTGATTTTCAGGTAGAGTGAAAACAGGAGAAGCATCTTCTGTTGTTCTTGCTGGACAAGCATCTCGCTACGTCAGACCGAAGCAAAGGTGCACACGTATCAGAGTGGCTGTCTGGGTCCATCCGTCACAAGGACCAAATTAGGTCTAACAACGCTGGGTGTGACCATTAGAAACCTGAAATTGCCTAATAAAAGGGGACTAACCCCCATGAGAGAGAAGCCAGTCTCTCCACGAGGGATCAGCTGTGGGGATATTATCACTTTGTTTCCGAGAGCCCTCCTCATGTGTTTACTTGGCAGAGGCTCAGTTCAGGCAGTCCTGCTGCCTGCCAGAAATGAGAGCCAACTTCCATATATGAGCATGCAGTGGAAGACACGACTTGGTGCACTGTGTTCGGCGGGGTGCTGCTGCTAAACCTCTGAGCCCCTAGTCCGTGTGCTTCATCCGAAAAGAGGTTTCCACGCCTGATTCACGTAGCCCAGTTGTGGGGCACGAGAGAAACTCCAGCTCCGATGCCCCTGTTAAACTGAGCCCTCTGTACTTACACAAAAACTCCTTCTCTGCTCTTTTAAACTGTTTTCTCTTCCAGGAGAGGATAAGTTTCTGTTACGAACTGTATACTGGTTTTGCAAATATCTCAGCAATGTTGCTCTCTAACTCGCATGAAATGTGCTGTTACGTGATGTGCATACGTAAACCAATGGCTGTTCTGGTTCCCACCGTGGATAATTGATGCAATAACTTGAATGCCTAATCTCAGTTTTGAGATTTTTATTTTTATCTTTGCAAAATAAGATGTAAAAGCCGGGGTCCATCGGGGGGGGGAGGGTCGGGGCAAGGGGAGAACCGAGTTAACGTTGCAAAATAAGGACTGTCGAGCTGACTGTGCTGCTGTTCTTGGACAATGCTGAGCATTTTCTCAGAAAGTTTTTTGAATGTTTTTTCTTTTATACTTGCTGCAGAATGCAGTGCGTCATAATCTTAGTCTTCACAAGTGTTTTGTGCGAGTAGAAAATGTTAAAGGGGCAGTATGGACAGTGGATGAAGCAGAGTTCCAAAAACGAAGGCCACAAAAGATCAGTGGGTATGTCCACCATGTTTGAACTTCTTAGCCTAGCTTGGATCATGCTTACAGTTTAACGTAGAGGCTTTTGGCTGCTAGATGGTGTTAGCCCAACACAGGTGGTTTCACATTGTTTCAGTTAAGGGAAACAAAGAAAAGCATCTCATCACTACTGTTTGTGTGCCCACCAGTACCCTTGACCCTGCTTGCTTGGTGTTTGTTGCATCACATGCTAGTAGCTTTAGGTGGCAATGCATATTAACCCTCACAAACCATTTGCTTATGCTTATTGCATTTTATTTTCTTTTTCCTTTTCCCTGTATTTGATGTCTGTTCTGTCCCCAATCCCGTGTCCCTTTGTTTCCACTTCATCTCCTTTGCTGCTGCTCTTGTCCCAGGGTGCCATTCGCACCAACCTCTCACTGCATAAGTGCTTTATCAGAGTAGAGGATGAGTTTGGGTCCTTTTGGACTGTTGATGATGAAGAGTTTAAACGAGGCCGTCATATTCAACGAGGCCGTCCTCGAAAATACTGCCCTGATGAAAACTTTGGCGAGCTTGTTGCACAGTAAGAGCTTTTACTTGCTTTTATTTTTTTTTTCTGCTGTTGCTTTGCTTTGCATGATTTACCCATCTCATGTAGACTTGCATTTCACAAAATAGTGACATCACCTTGGCTGCTAAAGAAACTAAATTGTGTGGTTGTTACACGTATTTCGCTTGTTCCTGCTCTAATAATAGAAATGTCTACGATAATGCTTCTTTGACACGTTTGTTTTAATGTTTATGACGCAGCGTAGACCAAATGTGTATCTCTTCTAGATCAAATATAATGTCAAGATCGGTTTTTAAGCAAGCTTCACCTTGATGTTATCAGTTAGTTTCACAGCTCCAAGCTCAGGAATAGGAATGGTTACTCAGAAAAATAAAATTACTGAGCTATCCGGAAACATTACAGGGACATCTACGGTAAAGAATATAAGCATTAGGCTAACCTCTATCTAACACATCCTATTTAAAATATTCCTGAGTTTCCCCAGGCAATTTGGGTTGCCCTTTAGTTGAAGACCACATCTCCAGAGCCCCACGCTGGTGTTGGTGTGAAGAGCGGTTCGCCGGGCCATTTTTCCATTCTGTTTCAAAGCACAAACAAAATGGCCCTTGGAAAGGTTGCTTTCCATAGTCTTTCTCCCCTGACTTGTACTCAATTTAAGATTTTTCAAATGGGGCGAGTGATTTTTTGGGGGGTGCCTGCCTTGACGCAAGGCAGATGCTTAGCATTTTATCCGAATTGGGCCCCTCCTGCAAAACGACCGCAGATGGGCTGCGGTAGTCTAAAGCAGCAATCCAAAACGTCACGACAGGGTGTGTTTTATGGAACAGGGTCTTTTAATGTTCCTAACCACTTCATTGCGGCCGTATTACCTCCCCCACCGCCCAGCAAGACTGCCTTGAGAGGTAACTAGCCAGTCACCCAAATGTCGGAGATGTGCGTCAGGGAATAATGCGAGTCAGGCAGGAAGGATTCTGCAGTCCCTTCTTAATCATAGTCCTCTGGGATAGGTATACCTGGCTCCGTTGCCAGCTACTACATCATGTCCCTTACATAGTATTCAAAATTTCCCATAATGCTTTTAATGGTGACCTCCTGAGAGTGCACCTTTGTGTAGCGATTGACTTTCAGCCAGGAAGAGTGTTGGCTACTATTGAGTACAGCTAAAAAAGAGACCCGATGCCAACAGGTAATATTTAACGGGGGCATTGCAAAACAAGACGCTAACTTCAGGAGCTGTAAATAATGGGGTTCCATATTTAATAAAGGCATATATGGCAGCCCCACTCACTAAAACATGAAAGTTTTGAGGAATTAGCAGAGAGTTTTTGTGGAAAGCAATCCAACCTGTAACTTTTCAGGTGTGGGGGAACAAAAAACATTGACATGCTTGAAACACCGCTGAGATGAGATGGTTGCATTTAACTCTCCTTTTTATGTTTTTCTTATGCAGTAACCCTTCTCTTATTAAAAACATACAGACCAGCCACACCTACTGCTCACCTCTCAATGCTGCTTTACAGGTAAGATTAATGATTGTAGCAAATATGCAACAGAGGCGTGTGTCTTCCCCACTCATTTCAAAATATATTAGCCTTGCTCTAATTAGATATTAAATTTTAATTCCGTTAAACTTTTTTCTTAAGTGCATAAAGCATCATAGTCCCTGGAGGCAAACACATATCAGGCTGCTTCAGCATTAGCTAGATGCTTAGCATTTTGAATATTGTGGCAAAAAAATTAAAAGTTCACTTATTAATATTTATCAGCAGTATCATAATTTCCATCCTCTTATTTCAGAATTTCACTTGAGGCAAAAATACCACAAGTGTAATTACTCTAGCACAGCTATTAATGTGCTGAATGAGAGGATACTGTGTCACATGACCTTCTATTGTTCATGGCTTTAAAGAGAAAGCAGATCATTTCCCCCTCTTTCTTTTAAGGCCTATTTTTGCATGTGTTTCTATTATTGTTAAATAACAAATGTTAGTTTGCTAAATAAAGGAGGAGAGGAAGGCAGATGTGTTGTATTTAGAGCATGCAAAAATGGTAAGACTTGTTTAGAGACTTCACATGGCAGAAAAAAATGTACAATGCATATACAGATAAACGTATATGCACAGCATTCATGTCTGTGTGGGCATCTAAGACATGGTCCCGGTAACAATTATTTGAGTGTCTCAGCAGTCCCTAGTGAAATCAGAGTTCACCATAAGGACATAAGTGCATTTTTTTTAGATTTTGTCTATTAATCACTATGTGTTTTCACACCTGTTCCATACTGTTTCCTAATCACTTCAAAGGCCTTAATCTTGCCACAAGATCCACACATGCAGTAGCTAATTTCTGCAAGGTAGGCAACAACTGTGCACCACTGAGCCCCAAACATTTAGAGAGGTCCTTCCCAAGAAGTTAATTGAAGGTTAAACTCTGTGCAGTGGATTAACTGTATTGTTTGGGCAATTAAATTTTGTGGAAGATTTACTAGACTTGCAATTTAAGCAATTTTTTTAAACCAAGAAACAGATTAATAGGAAAGAAGTGACATTCTGCATTTCTCCTAATTATTTCAGTTTATGCAGTAACTTCTGAAAAGCAAATGAAAGCATGTTTAAATGAAGCAACTGTAAATACCGTTCATTAGTAACTTATTTTCCCTTGAGTCTTCTGAAGTGTGACTTTTTTTTTTTTTAAAGACTGCTTTGTCTCTTGAACGGTGTTAAGATTACAAGCACATTTTACATTCTGGAGGCTGAAAGGCAAAAATGAAATGATCCTGCATTCCTTCAGATTTTGTTAACTATGTGACTAATTTCAATTAATATGCTTATCATACAGAACTGTTCGTGTTTTATTTTTAAAACGTGTTGTTGTCATCATCGCCATCCATTCTTGCCTTTTGTAATGCCCTCAAAACTGTTTTCATTTTCCAGTGTTTCAAGGGAGTAGCATGTTTGTGCCCTGAAATGACACTAGATAAACTAACTTGATTGAGCAGAACTTCTGGGCCCATTTTACTGAGGCTTTTTGAATTTCTCTAATAAACACAAGCCTGAGATAACCTTCTGTTGTGTTAATTAAATAAAATGTCCTTTTAGGAGTCGCATATGCTGGCAGAGTCCTTTTTCCCCACTGTTCTCTTGCAGTTTAGGACAAGTAGCAAAAAAAAAATAGAAAAAGTTTCCCATTTTCTTCTGCAAAAATAGTGCTGCATACTGTGTGATGTAGAAGGGCTCTGAGCATTTGCAAAATAGAGAGAGAGAAAATTGCATAAAATGCTGTTGGGTGCATAACACATTCGAAATGCCCTGGTTTGTATAATAAGCTTGTTATCATGGTATGATTCACTTTTACCTCTCAATGGACATGCGCAGCTAAATGGCCAACAGTTGACAAAAAAAAACACCCATGTGGTTTTTGTAGGCATGTCCCGCATGATGTGCAAAGGTCCATCTCTTGCATGCACTCACAGGTGGGACAGGGCCTTTCTTTTCCTAGGCCTGGCAGTGCTACCTGCAGACACCTCCAAGGTCTCCCCCTGCAGACCTGGTGGTCTGTGGAGAGCTTTTTGCAGTTTTATAGAGCAAGGTATGAGGCACTGAGGGTAGGTGCGGCTGTCCTGTGAAATGAGAGTTGGCATGCCGCTGGTAAGGACTGGGCTGTTTGCTGCACACCTAAATCTCCCCTGTGTGGGCCTCTCCAAAGGTAAAAAATAAGGCTGACTTGAGCCTTCTCCCATCATTTAAAGTCATCATTCTTCTAGTGTGCAGCTCTGAGCAGGTCAGCTAGCATTGCAGGGTTGTTCTGGTACGTTGATGTGCCGCTGCTCTTTACACTTCGACCAAAACACCAAGCGCAAGAATCTCCTTTCCAGGCCTGCACAGAAACCATAAATGGTGGACATCTACTGAGAGTTGGAGCTTGCAAGGCTCCCAGCCTGAGCCTCGTGACCTTAAAACAGTTCAAACAGCTATTGGTCTTTGCAGGCAATATTCCTTATCCAAGCCTTTGAGTCACAAGTCCTTCCTTGCTGAGATGCTAACCCCTCCCCCACCCCCCAAAAAATAAAAATAAAAACCAACACAGCAAGTGCTGCTTCTGCTTCACCTCTTTCCAAATAAATTCCTTGGTGGCAATGACAAGTTATTTCAATGGGGGAAGAATTTGACTCATTTTGCAAAGTGCAGGACATATGAGGCAATCTTGATGTTCCCCCAATCAAATGTCATTTCCTGTTTGCAGAATCAAAAAGTTAAAATAGACTGTTTTCTTAACAATGGGGCAGTATTTAAAGAAATCAGCTTGGGGAGAGAACAAGACAAGGCCCTGCCTCTGAGCAGACTGTGCTCAGAGCTGGTGGTTGTCCTTCCAGTCCACAGTTGTCCTTGAATAGCAGCTTTTTTTTTTTTTGGTTGGGTTATTGGCTTTAAAAGTTGAAAAGACATATTTGTGTTCCCATAACCACCTGATGGGATAGTGCTGGTCCAAAAGACACGTTAGCTGATGGTAGACAGTCCCCATCCAAATGAGCCCACGCTGGCACTTCATCTATGCCAGCAACCAGGAATTGAGGAAAAGGGAAGATGATGCCCAACAATTCATTTCTTGTCTATAAAGACCCCTGTTTAGAAAGACAAGTCCAGCATGCTGTATAGATCATACCGGAAATAAAAGCAGGGGCAGTCTAATTGGCATTATTAAATCTATAATGCCTAAGATAATACCAGGGTTATTGAAGAGGGTTAAAAATTGAAAACTCTGCCCAAATTCACCATGACGTGTAAAGTACAAGAGATCTCTCACTAACGCAAAAGCACTACAGAAAGCTTCACGGAGACAAATTCAATTCTCAGTTACACCGGTGCAAACACAAGTTAACCCCAGTGGCTTCAATGGGGAATGTGCATTGATAAGGCCTATAACACCTTGCCACTAAGGTGTCCCTTTTCACTCTGCTGGCAGTGCAATCCTCCGCTGAGCAAGTTCTCTCTCCCTTTTTTTCCAGATTAACCAATTTCTTTTATTAAAAAATGATTTTTTTCATCAGGAAATGGAACAGGCAGACTTTCTTTTCTCCAAGAGGTGCAATCTCCAAACGGGGAACAAGAGGTTCAGCCCTCTCTCACGAGCCAATAGCCAGCACCTCTATGAATGTATAAATCCAGATGCAAATTGTGTGAAATTTCCCTTGGTGGAATCAGTGTATTGCCTATCAGAAAATGCAGTATTTTTTTTAAAATCAGTAATTGCAAGTCATGTAAATGAGGAGAAAGGAGGTTTGAAATAACTGTGTCGTGCCATGTATAAAAATGTAAGCCATGGTTCTTCATACTGTTTTATTGTGTCCTTGGCAGGCTTCAATGGCTGAGAATAGTATACCTCTATACACTACTGCTTCCATGGGAAATCCTGCTCTGGGCAATTTAGCCATTGCTATGAAGGAAGAGCTTAATGGTGCAATGGAGCATACGAACAGTAATGGGAGTGACAGTAGTCCAGGACGTTCCCCTATGCAAGCTATGTAAGTACAGCAAACACAAATGTCTTTGTTGACATGTTGCCGTACGGCTGCTAAAATATAACGTAGAGCTTCTTCGTGGACTGTTTCTGAATTCCCAGTTCCAAACAGCAATGGTAGAAGTCTCCGTTTCTGAAAATGTTTAGGTGAATAGAACATAAAAGAACCATTTACCAACTTTCACATAAAAGCAGTCAGCTCAATCCAGTCCGACAAGTGCACACAGCTATAAAATTGTCAACTTGTTTGCCGTTTTCTTCTTTACATCCCAGACCACGGGGTTACCGAGATGCTCTGAGGTGACCACGTTGCTCTGTGAAGTTTTTGTTCCCTTCTGCTTTAGTCCACGCAATAAAGAAGCTTTGGGGGGTAGAACTGGTAGAAATGGGCTTGTTTAGCTGGGTTAAAAAAATATTCGGCACACAACAGCATTGCTTGGCATTAATGATGGCGCACGTGAAGGTCTGCATGATTTATAGATTGCTCTTAAAATATCAAAAGGAAAATTAATAGGAGCATTATAGCAACAGACGGCAGTATAATGAGTGCATATATAACTGCATGAAGTAATGGGAGATTGCTGTCCATGTGAAATGTGAATGGCAGTAGGGCAGCATGCTAGCACAGGAAAGGTAAGTCAGGAAGGGTGGGATGTCCCGATGGGTGTGTTCAGTATTTATGGGGTGACAGAGTGAATTTGTAAAGCCATAAATCCCCCATTCCCCCCCCAAATTACATACCAGATCATTGGCAGCTGGAAAGGAAGCCCAAGTTTATAAGACCTGTAGTTCTCAAATTTAAGGAACTGCCTATCTGGTAAAGTTGGCTACCTGTGCGAATGGACGCATGCAAGAGCAGGGCTGTGTTTCATCTGGCTGTTCATTAAAATGGACCGTACAATTATTGGCCAAGTTACCAAAGCTCACATTACACATTAAAAAAAAAAAAAGGGACTAATTTGAAGCCTTTTACTTCAAAGTAATTTGAATAAGAGATTTACAAAAGTAGGTCTAAATCAAAAAGTAAGAAAACATTAACCTACTACCACTATAGTAATTAGTTGTGAAACTAATTAGCATTTAATGGCAAAAAAAGTTTCCCACCTGCATAATGTGTGTCGGGGGGGTGGGGAGGGTGGCAGGAATCTAAAGCTCTGGGTACTTTGATATTGCAGCATTTTAAATCAGTGCACAATGTGCTTTGAAAAAAAAATCTTTAAAGATGGCAACATTCATTTTTAATTAATAATTAATTGGAACATTGTCTTTTACCATTTACTTCAAAACATTCAAGTAATGTGTTTAGCTTTTGCAGTGATTGTTTGTGCAGGATTAATTATCTTTCTCCCAAAGTAGCATTACGTGACATACTTCTAGCGCCACCACAAACGGATCCATCTTGAGGCGGTTTCAGTCCTCATTTGTTATGCTCTGCCCAGGACCATGCAGGACTTGAGCAGAGGAGAAGAGGGTGGTGGGAACAAGACTTATCTCGAGGGTTTCTCCTGGGCTGATTTGCACGGAGAGGCATTTGTAGCGTTGCATTAATCCAGGTAATTTATGTTTTGTTAGGTTCAGAGCTAGTATAGCTCTTGTACTTCTCACTTCGCCTAAGAGTTCGTCATCTGCGAAGTGGCCGGATTAGTAGTGCAGAGTAGGCTAGGATGTTTCCTAGAGCCATGCATAGCTGCAGCCTTTGCTGCTCTTGCAAACGTTCAATGTGAGTGAACAATGTGGGGGACTTGTTGTTGGCCCCCTAAATGTGGGCCCCCAATTACCCCAGAGTAAGTGAAAGCTCTGGTTTTACCCTTCCTTTAATATGGAAGTCCAAGGCAGCTGTTCCACACACTAAGTTCCTATTAACCTGCCTGAATGTGACCGTTTCTCTGTGCCCTTAGTAGTCATCTCTTGACATGTAAATACCAAGGTGAGCGGCACGTTAAAAATCCCAGGGAGGGGTACCTCATTTTCACTGCCCACCAGCCAGTTCATTTGCTGTGCGTTTTCATAGATTTCATAGACATGAGGGCTAGAAGGGACCTCGGAAGATCATCGAGTCCAACCCCCTGCCCAAAACGCAGATCTTCGTAGTCCCAAATTGATCCGATGTGTTCTCTGCTGAACCCTTACATTTGCTTAAGCAAAAATGCGGTAGGGTAATGCTCTGGTAGCAGCGTCCAGGTCCTCCAGTCTGAAATGCTCCGAAGCAGGATTTGCACTGTTTGCTAAATACAGATTTCCAGATGTCATAGACAGTCTCTTATTTCCATTAGGCAGACTTTGTAATGGCATTTTCTCTTCTTCTCCAAACCCCACTTCTGTGCCATAATGCATATTGTTGTTGGGTTTTTTTTCTTATTCAACTGTTCCAATATATGGGAATAATTTAGGCCTTCAACTTTATCGTAAGGTTTAGAGGACCTCGTTAACATGACAGCTAAGCGAGTATAATACTTCAGCTGAAGTCTTATTACCATTCATTCCTTTCCTTTTTATGACGCATTGAACCACTGCTACTTTTTTTTTCCCCCTGTCCTCCTTTTGAAACACTAGAAAGTAGTCTCATAATTACAGCTTGGGGACATAACACTTTCATCCTGATATGCTCCAAAGGTAGCCACAAAGCAAACTACTCCATGCTGTGTGCACCACCAGAACACAGTGGCTTTAAACAACAGTCAGCTTTATTAAAAACTCCTCTATTCCCAGAGTGGACAAACAAAAGAATTACTCAAATGTGAAAAGAAGGGAACTCTGCATCCAGGAAGGTTATTTATTGTTAACCCCTTCTGAAGCCCTGGACACCCAGTTAAAAGGAGCATGTTGAAATTCTGCTACTAAACAAGAAAGGGAAAATCTTTTTTTGTCCAGCACTTACCTTCCATGCAGAGTTCAGTAGCTGCCTTTCCCTTCGCCAGCTTTTGAGGCTTTATGAGAGATGTTAAATGGAAATTCAAACTGGTTTGGCAAATACAAAAATCTCCCCCCAGCCTCTCGCACTCTTTAAGATGCACATTGCTAATGCTTCTGAAATGTTTGTATAATCTCTGATTCAGAACACTTTCCTTTTCACATGCCAGCTTGCTGTTGCAACCAAAATAACATACATGGGGCTGGATTATTTTTGTTTTCTGTGCAAATTTTGTACTTGAGGTTTGGATAGTCCAGACCAACATCCTAATTTGAGGAGTAGGCTTTCCTCCAAACTAGACACTCGCTCCTTTGACACCGATCCAGAATTAAGTACCTGGAGGTGCAGTGGAGGAACACTACAAGAGCTTTTGTAGCACACTGTAGCTTTGTCTCATTTGAGCACAAGCCACCCTGTTCGTGGGGTTGCATTTAGTTGGCTTTCCACTCCTTGTGTTTTGTTTTTGACTTCTGGGAACAAAGTCAAACCTCAAAGTGAAACTCAGTCAAAACCGCCCAGTTTCACCTGCTTTCAGAGCAGAACCATGAAGCTAGCCAGGATTTGCTTTGGAAAGCTTCAAGAGCATTTGAATGAGCCTGTACTGATTTTCAGGTTTATCATGTAAGCAGGTGAGTTTGGCAGAGTCAGTGCAAGCCACTTCTGTGGGCAACTCTTCTCTCTGCTTATATGTATCCCTACGCTCGGGGAGGCTTGATCAGATGTGCTGGCCCATTGACATGTGAGGAATATCCCTGGAGCTGCTACTATAGCATAGATGGAGTAGAAATCCCTCTTCCCCTTGACAGACTTTTGGGTTCATAAAACATCTGACTCTCTTGTTTTCTCTCTCCAAAATTGTTCTGCCGTAATTTTTCACATAAAACAAATAAAGAAGCTTCAACAGTGACAACAAAAACTAAAACGCAATGAGCAAAATGTTTTAATTAATGCAAAGGGTCTACATTTCCCTGTACATAGCTACGCCCCCCCACCAGTCGTGGTTATCTGCAAAGGTAGCAATTCTTATTGTGAGTAAGGGACTTACCTTGGATTGGGTTTTAAATTGTCTTTGTGAAATATATGAGCCCAAACTAGAATCAAATTTTCTGAATCATCCTTAAAGCTGGTGAACTCACATCAAACAGGAACAAGATCCCATAAGCTTTTGGGTTTATTTTGCCAAAACCGCCAAGTATTGCCA